TTTCTAAACGAAGGTGTTTATTATTAAAGGGGGAATAAATCCAAACCTTCATGGCCCTGTGTGAAAAAGGGATTGCCCCCTAAACCTAATAAGTGGTTGAGCCACCCCTAGCAGCAACAACTTCAATGAAGCATTTGCAAGGAGCCTTTCACAGCTCTGTGGAGGAAATTTGGCCCACTCATTTTTGCAGAATTGTTGTAAGTCAGCCACATTGGAGGGTTTTTGAGCATGAACTGCCTTTTTAAGGTCATATCACAGCATCTCAATCGGATTCAGGTCAGGACTTTGACCAGGCTACTCCAAAGTCTTCATTTGTTTTCTCGTAAGCCACTCAGAGGTGGACTTGCTGGTGTGTTTTGGATCATTGTCCTGCTGGTTAACCCAAGTGTGCATCAGTTTGAGGACACAAACAGATGGCCGGACATTCTCCTTCAGGACTTTTTGGTAGACGGCAGAATTGATGGTTCCATTTACAAGTCTTTCAGGTCCTGAAGCAAAAACAGCCCCAGACCATCACACTAACACTACCATAATTTAATGTTGAAATGATGTTCCTTTTCGGAAATGCTATGTTAGTTTTATGCCAAATGTAACAGGATTCAAACCTTCTAAAAAGTTTATTTGTCTCATCAGTCCACATAGTATTTTCTCCATGTCTGTATAATGGCTCTCACTGTGGTTCACTGGAGTCCCAAAACCTTAGAGATGGCTTTGTAATCCTTTCCATCAGTGACTTTGACAAAGTGAAGCAAGCTAAAAGATCGCAAAAAGCAACACATCATGCCACGATCAAAAGAAACACCCGAGAAACCGACAGGTTCTATTTAAGTGGCTTCTGGATTGAACAGTTCTTCCAGTAATCAGGCCTGAGTGTGTTTAGTAAAACTGAACTCAGCTTTCTAAAAGTGTTAACAATTCATGATTTGACAAGAATAACTTTTTCACACAGGGACACACACAGGGTAGGTTTGGATAAATTTTCTCCCTTAATCAATGAAATCATCATTTAAAACTGCATTTTGTTATCTTTTTCTAATATTAAAATTTGTTTGTTCATCTGAAACATGTAAGTGTGACAAATATGCAACACACTAGGAAACCAGGAAGGGGGCAAACACTTTTTCACACCACTGTACAATCAGCTGCTGCTTATGCTCTCCGGCTTGTGTGACTTTCCCCCCCCCCCATTTGGTTTCATCCTCTTTTGCATTTTGAATGTATTTTTTATGGATTCCTTAATTATTTTAACTTGGAATCCCTGAAGCTTTTTGTTTTCAGCTAGAAGCCTGAAGACTAAAGGTTGAAGTTTGTTTGGCTATGTGCTGGCCTGCATTAGGAGTGTGTGCAGGGTTCAGTTGGATCTGGGCATGCTACACATGTAGCGTAATCGCTAATGGAAGTGAATGATGAAATCCATCACATCCTAAACAGCAGCTGATTTTGTCAAAACTGTCACTCGGTCGATAAAAAAACAAAACAAAAACACAACCCATAAAGCATGTCGAGAACACTGTGTCACTGCCAAAAAATAGGTCTCCAATTAATCCACAAAATAAAAAAAATCAGACGTCACTGAGCTCTCCAAGAGCGGTTTTTAGATGTGGGTGTGTTTGCATGAAAGTGGATCTAGTCATCATGCTCATTACAGTCCAGTGTTTATTGTTTGAGTGTTTTAAACCTATTCACCTGTCATTCAGTCCTGTACAGCTTTTTTCATCATTGTTCATGTGTAGGAAACCTCTAAGCTGAGTTCATGCAGCTCCTGGAGGCCAAATCTAGACAAAAACTCAGATTTCTGTTGCAGATTAAGACTTAAATAGAAAAGATTTAAAACCATGCAGCAAGACATTGTTGAATGATCTTGTGTTTCCATATTTTCTCAGACTCTCTTGGCTGATTTGCTCATTTTCAGCGTTTGCACCTAAAATGTTTACATTTTATTACAAATAATTTCTCCCTGCTCTACAAATTCATAGACACTGTCAGTTCTGCTATGTTTATTGTGTGGTGTGGCAGATCATTGTACACTTACTCCAAACCCTTGTCATTGTAAATGGTTTTTAAGATTATTGGTGCCCTTCATTTTTTTGGCACTTTACTACTTGCACATACTTTGCGGTATCTAAATGTTCTGCATTTTTGTGCTATTACTTTTCTTTTTTGTAAGTTTTATACTTTATTACATTTCTTTTCATTTATGGATTTTCAGATAATTTCTGGGATTACAACAGTGAGCCTTGAGAGACATGAGTGACGTCATTCACTGACAAATATCTTTTTAACTTTTCAAATTTATTTTACTCTTTTAGCTCGCTTTAACGTGGAAGCTTGTTTCCACCACTGAAAGGAAGAACTCAAATGAATAAATCAAAATTATCTTTGTTGTTTTCTTCAAATTTGGAGTTACTAAATTGCAGTTAGGTGTACCAATCAGGAAGCTCCGTGAATAACATAATTTCTTTAGTACCTGGAAACAGATGGTTCAGATACAGGCGCTCAAAATCAAATAGTGATGGCATCAGTAAACTAGCAATATAAACATGAAGAAGCTGCTGTTGTGCTAATAACGCCATGCGATTTAGCTAGTAACACAAGGATTACATTATTTTTTAAAACCAGTTTGCTCATTCATGACCAGCAGCTGTAGCACTGATAGCTGATGACTTGCACCTTCTGCTCCTGTGTAACAAGGAAAAGACATACCATGACAAAGCTACCTGATTGGCAGAGCCATCTCAAAACTTTGACTTTATAACTTTGAAATTTTAATTTTTTCTGGAAATTGTCTTAATATATTTAAGATGTGAACTAATCCAATGATTATATTTGAATTTCAGTTAAAAAAAAAACAAACTTCTGTTCCAGTTTCAGCAAATGCCCTCCGCTCTGTTCCTCTGTTCCAGGTTGTAAATGCCTTAAAACGTTAACATTAAAACATCAGAATCAAGCACAATGATGTTCATTTATGAAAAAGAAACTTTATTCCATATTTTGTGGTCCTCAGTAGTAATGCACATTTTAGATATAAAAAGAACCGTGGTTATGAAAATAGCATGAGCATCGGAAATGGACTGTAGATGCAGTGGAGCCAAAGGAGCAAAAACAACAACCCAACAAAAGAACCCAACTCACAGGACACCACGCTGCAGAGGAGTACAGTCTCAACACTTGCACTTGACTATACCACTGAGTAATGAAACATCTATTGTATGTCACACTTGAGCCACAAATCTGAAAACCTAAAGCAGGAGAAAAGTGTACAGTTCAATTTGTGTTAAATAGGAGAGACGACCAAAATATGAAACCACTGCTGAAAAAAAATCACTGGCGAGAGCAAAAACATGGCTGTAAATGAAAGCTTGTGGTAGAAAAAACACTGTGTACATCAGCAGAGACGGAAGCCTCTTCAGCAATTACAGAAGCTGTTAGTGGGGTTTCTGCTGCAAATCATACAGCTGTGGACGAACTGAAAAAAAGACACAGACCACCTCAGAGCACTTATAGGCTAATTATTACTGTTACACTCATAGATTTCATTCCAATGACACTTCACTGTACTGCACTGAGCACATGGAAAGCATTTATCAAAAAAGAAAAAAAAAAGTCCAGCTTCCTTGAGCATTATTTCAGCCGTCGGAGAAGAATATGAAACAGAAATGTCTTTGGCTTGTTTGTCGCAACAATACTCTGAATGTAAGTTCGGTGGTTTGATATACTTCAGCTCATCAAAGCTGCACCGATACTGCAAAGATTTTGACACAGCTTTCTTTGCGAGAGCTTTCCCAGCACATTGGTGACGGATACGTTTCCTGTCTGACTGTCTGTCACCAGCTCAGCCTCCCCATCTGCCTGAGACCTGCTCATCCTCAGATGACACAGAGCCCAGAGCTGGTTCACCGGTTCAGTGTGGAGTCACACACATGCCAGTACTGGCCCGGCATCAAATCACAGCCTGTAGCTCTCCCTGTGTTTACCCCTTTCCTTTCCAGCAGGCTCAAAAGTTAATACCAAATAATGTGGGCTGTCCATGGAAAACTAGAAAATATGACATTGATGGTAGAAATTAGAATTTTTCAAATGCCACTGGAGAGAGCACACGGTAGAGTCAGTGGAAAATGACGTCTCAATTTAAAAAGGCACACTATCCGGTCGTTAAGTGATGACTTGACGAATCCTACTTCCGGGCCTAAAGTAGTCTGCGTTTAATATGGCTTTTGTGTTGTTAAGATGTTTAATGTTTTTTATTACCGCTAATCATTTATTTAAGCTCAGTTTTTAAAACCTTAGGATGTAACTACAGCCCAGCCCATGCAGCAGTATATGAATGACTAACCTCGTATTGTGGATGGATTATCTCAGTTGTTCTCCTGGCTGAAGTTTGGTCCTTTTACAGCATCCTGCCATGCGATTACATTTGTTCCTGACCCCCGAGAACACTCACGCTAACTTTTATCGAGTGGAAAAAAAGTTATCTTGTTTAGATTATGCTAACATAGCTGTGTCGCTAGCGGTCACGTAGCACATCATTATATACCAGCTAGCCAAACTTCAGTAACCCTACAAACATCACCGCTGTTTAGTTTTCTGTCTTCATTTATGTTGGAAGTGATAACAGAGCTGTACGTTTTAATTTGTTTCCAAAACCCCGCAGTCAGGACATGCTATATTGTATTTAAATAGAAGCTAGCGAGCTAACTCCCTGCTAACTTCTAACTCCATTAAATGTCATAAATTCCGTTTTCATGGATGCCTGGATGTTAAACTCAATTGTTACACCTGGTAGAGCAGAACGCTGATCATTTTATTAAAGATGAAAGACTTTAGACAGTTTTTCAACTCTCAGTAATGCCATAGTGATCGTTTGAAATATGGACCTGCAGCGGAGTTTAGGCCCAGACACGGCTAGTGACGTCAGACTTAACGACCGGATATTAGTTTTCATTATGCTCAATAAAATCATAGCTTTGTGCCTCATGGAGACTCATAAGTGTTTTATCATGTATATCATGAAAAAAAAAAAAAGAATTTCTTGATGGTAGACAATTCTTCAGAAGTGAAGCCAAAATATCTCAATTGTCTCAGTGGTGACACGGCCAGCTGGAGTTTAATTCATACATGAGCCAAACAACGTGTTTTCTGTCATATTCTCCATTCTTCCACATGAGGTTTGTTTTGGGCAGCTTTACTGCAGAAATAAACGTGTTTACAGCCAACCTGGCTTAAGCAGCTGCTATTGTTCCATAATAATTGCAGTGGAGTTGTTCTTGTTTTTTTAATTAAGGCTTGAAGTTGTACATTATTAGGTGTGTGGCTGCTTTGAGTGGCTGGTGGTTGCTGATTTTGCCACTAGATATCTGCTAGATTTCACCTCAGCCAATTTCAGCCACTGAGTTAGACCTCTATAGCATGTTTGTGCGTTTTTAAGGAAAATTTCAAAGAGATTGCCCAAAATCTCTGCGCTCCCGATTTGGTAGGTAAAATTGTAGTATTTTATAGTGTTAACTGATAACTCTGCACTCTACCCTCTCTTCCGGCTTTGTACACTTCTTCTCCAAAAACAAGTTTGATGTCCACACTGCCAAAATCAAGCCATCAAAATGTGAGTCACCAAAACAATAGACTGCATTTTAATGTGACAATTTATCATTTGCCTGTAACTGTAAATGTCTGACTTTTGACATCTGCTATTTTAAAAAAAAAAGCTTCGATCGAGGCTTCACTATCCAATGGGTGATGGCAGACATACGAGCTCATACGTTCATACATTGAAGGTTAACTAAGTTACTGTTAATATTATACCTAGTGACCTAAGAGCTCAGTGACTCAGTGCAGCCAGAAACTTACTTGCGTCCTAAGAATATTTTTCACTAGAAATGATAAAAATATGAAATATTCTGTGTTAATTGTAAACTGTCATGTTTTCCAGACCCAGGTCATTACTGCACAGTTACAAATGATCAGTACAAGATGGCTCTGCCAGTATTTTGGCTTCACATTTACAGTTTAAAGAACATCTTCCATGTTTATGTAAAGTCCAGAGATGAGCTCTGACATAAGTAGCAATACACAAACCCTACAGAAACGTCCGAACATCATACAGAGCCAAGCTCACAGTAACGTTTGACCTGTTAGTGAGTTAAATGATACCACTTGGATGTCTGTTTCTGTTGTTTTAGTTTCTGTTGCCTGATAATACAAAGCGTGGAGAGTCCATGAACAGGCAGATCTCATCTGGCAGGTTACAAACTGACCGACTGGTGAATCCTGGTGATTCTGCCGGTGAAACAGAACTAGCGTGAGATCCCCTTTACATTTCCGCCTTTTTTTCAATCATCTGTTTGACAAAAGCAAAGCGAGGCCTCCAAGAAGCAAGAACTGAAGCATGTGTTTGTTTGTTTTTCATCTTTACATGATAATGTAGTGTAAGAGTGTAAGGTAGAGCACCACTCAGAAAATCTTATTGCATCGCCCTTCATGTGTCAGCAGAAGGGAGTCGGGGCACTGTCACATCTGGGCAGCTCCGCTAACACAAACATGGATCATAAAAGTACATTTTTGCCCCCAAATTAGGACAGAGGAAATGATACGTGGCTGTTCAAGTTGAGAAATAAAGAGATCAAAAGAACTGCTTTCAGCATTTTGTGTTTGTTGAAGAAACACGCACACCAACATTTTCATTTTCATTCATTTTAGCTGCTGGCATAGTGGGCGGCACTTTACACCATTCTTGACATAGTTTACCCTTTTTCTGTGTGGAAATCCTGAAAATGTTCTTTAAATATTCTTTTGCAAGTTGACATTTCCCATTTAAGATGTCATTTAATTAAACTGATGCAAATAAAGAAATAAGAAAAGCTCTGAATTCATTATTCACGTATGCGTTCCTGTACCATAACTCAGTGTCAACCCCGGTAGAGTGTTTTTCCAGCATACCACACCGTGCTGTTTCCTCAGTATTAAAACATTAAAATAACCATTTTAGGGTTGCTCAGGCGTGTCTGAATAAACAAATGAGAGGGCACCTGTGTGAAATATTTGGCACAAACATAGCAAATATAATTAAAAGAAAAAAGCTGAAAAAGGGATATAAAAAGTTCCGACTTGGTTTACTGCCAAAAGCAAAGGAGTAACCGTTGCTGAAGTGAGGTCTTCACCACGCTGAGGTTATTTATCAGAGGTAAATACGTCTTTCTGGTGTTCGTCTCAGCTCAGGGTGGGCTACACTAAGGCAATTCAACGGTCGCTAATGCCAGGTGGAAACACGGAAATCAAATTATGATACAAACAGTCCATATTAAAACTATAACTCTATTTCTAACATAGCCTCTTCAGCGTAATTGTAACTGTTTATTGCATGCAAACAGAGATTGGTGATTGTAATAAGCAGGATTATTGTATTTGTGCCTACAATTATGTACCAGTGACACCCATTATATTGAACCTAGGCATTAGTTAAACAGCAGAACAAACACTATTCTTTGCCTAGTTACTTTATCTAGTGTGCGCTAAGAAGTGGCTGCTGTGTGACGCCAATACACGGTGTGAATATGCTCATGTAGAAAAAGAACACTTCCATTATAAGCATGGCTGCCTCGGCTCCCAGGGTGTTTCATCTCAAAGGAGCCCAATCTGTGACAATCCAGCTGGTAGACATAAACAGTTTTGTTGCGCCTGCTGCCTGTAAATACATTTAACCCCAAAATTTTCCACCTCCAAAGCCTCCACATCTTACTGCAAATGTAAAAGAAAACTTCAGGTTCATTCCATATGTGTGACTCACACTGATCAACAACAACTCACTGCTAAGGTTTCTTTTAAAGAAAAAATTACACATTCTAGAATATTTTGCCTCCGTGTCCAGAGTTAGATGATTGATTGAAGCAGGTTCTGGGTTTCGTTTGGCCTGTTATAACCCGACCTGCTGTATTATTTAAGCTCTTTTATGTTATTGTTATATGCTTTATGCTACTGTTTGGTAGGTTGCAGTCTTGTATATTTTGTCTGTGCTGTCTCTGGGTTTTTATTAGATAAGAGGGAAGCTGGTTTTTATTGTTTTGGTGGGAACTTAAAATGAGTCTAGGTCAGGCCTAGCATCCCTGGATATTATAAATGTTATTTGTGTTAATAACTGCATATTATTAATCTGGAGCTGGCATAGCTTTATTAGATCCTTCTTGCATTAAAAGTTGATGAAGTTTTACTTTTTTATGACATACTTTATTTTGTACCAGGAATATGTATTTAAAGTCAACCTTAGAACACTAATGTTGGGTGATTTTAACTCACACAATGAATAAATATCATTTAGTGGTAATGTCCAATAGAATTTTTATGGTAAAAAAAATTAATATTAAGCAGATCATTTTCTCCTCTCAGAATAAGTGCTTTTGTGTTTCTCTCGCTCACTGTTTTCTGTAATGCAGGGAGACTGTGCCTTCACCAGACAAGGCTCACATGTCTCAGGACTGGGTGGACCGAAAAACAAGCTCCCAGTTCCATTATTTGTATTTTTTTAATTCATTTTTTTTAATGATTCCTAAATTTTTGACTAATTCTAGAGCCGTTTTATTTCATTAGATCATAGGGGAAATAAAAGAAGAGTACTTCAATTTGTTATGTATTGTTGTACTTTAATATATTTTGATGGAAAGTATGTTTTATACTTAAATATAATGTTACAAAACTGCACATTAGTGTTCTAGAGTTAAATGGGATAATTTTAACTGAAGCCACATCTTTGTCATGTTCCTACAGATTTATTGGTGTGACTGATGTTGGTCCTGCCAAACTAAGTGAAGCAGAGTAGACTTATTCTCGTATGTGCAAAAACCAAATTGCAGGGAGGAAAAATTCATAAACTCCAAGACGATAGTCTTTATGCTAAGCTAAACGATCCAGCTGTGAGCTCTAAATTCATATATAGGTCCTGGAAGAAGTCTTCTTATCTAATACAAGGAATTCAACAGGTGTATTTCGCAGAATATAGAAAAAGCACAGCTTTCAAAGGAAAGTATTTTTTTCATAAGCGCATACATGTGGTTGTTGATCTCTTTTGGCTGGTCTTTTGTGCCAAAGACAGACTTTTCTTCAGTAATTTAATTTTCCTCTCCCCTCTGGGTGTAGAATAAGTAAAACCCACAGTTTGACTTGTTACTATAGTAACACAAACAGTATAAAGAACCATTGAAAGAATTGGTTTAACACCATAAAATGTATTAAAAATATACCAGTAAAGCACACGCTGTTATCTTGGCTGTCAAGTTCATTTGAATCGTCCTTTTACCAGCCTGATCTTTATAACATACAGAGAACTCAAAGTGTTGTGACGAAGGAGGGATGAGCCGTGTCTAGTGGCTGAAAGTCATAATGAAGTGATAAGAATCTAATAATCCTTTGTGTTTTCCAAGAAATGGCCATTTTTTAAATGGGGTTCTGAATGAGAATAGCCATAATCAGTCAAAGCCAGGCTCTTCTATTTTTCTTAATAAATCATTATTCCCTGATTATTGTAGCAGATAGTATCTACCCCTCCAGAGGAAGGCACTATGAGTGGTTTGAACATCCTTGGATTTTCATCATCTGGATCTGACTGATGACTGGATAAAAGCATTCCCTACAACACAAGCCATCCTCCTGACTGAGGAGTCTGGGACACATTTTCTTCTTCGTCTTCAAGTCGTCGTTAGTGCACTGTCCATCCTGACATCCCTCTGTGTACAGCATATGAAGAGAGTCACTATTGTGATGTATTCTCATACCTGAAGCCACTGAGGCTGAAATCTCTGCCAGGCACAGGGCTGCACACACACACACAGACACACACACACACACACACACACCACAAACACACAGTCCTCCTGACTGTGTTTTCATCTCCAGGTAACTTCTTCAGGGTCCACAGGAAAGAGTTTATTTGGTGTTACCTTTTATTCAGATTGAATTACCTCTGTTAAGCTGCACTGTCCATCTCCTGAAACCAAGCAGGCACCCTCAGTGTGCTAAAGGTAGAGATAGCCTACCCAGTAGACGATGTTGAAGAGTAAGAAGGAGGTGGGAAAAAAAACGCGGGAGTATGCGTCCAGTTCATGTACATCTATGTGGACGCGGCCTCTCCTCCAACCGCCTTCTTTACACTCCTCGAAACAGCAGAAGAAGCTCTGGCAGTCTTTTCCGTCCAGACACTCGTAGACACAAGGGTCTTCAAATTCCTGCCAGTACATGGAGTTGTTTAAAGCGATGACTGTGTGTGGAGGAGGTCTCACATCGAGGACTGAGTAGTTCTGAAAATACAAGAAGTCTTTTGAGTACCAAATGCTTTCCCCCCATCACATTAGAAGTTTTTTTTTTCTTAAAGCAGAACATTGTCCAGAAGGTTTGATGGTTACAGATCTGAGGTCCAATTTGTAGCCATTTAGTCTCAGTAAGATTAAAGTATTCTGAGGGAGAATAACTTACGTCTTTATATCCATTGATTATGTTTTTCAACTGTGTGTTTTTGTACCCTTGTTAGGGCAGCTCAGTCTAGACAAACTCTTAACATGTCTAATATCTACATGTTCTCCAGACATGAGGGAAATAGTGAGTGTAGCAGTGGCAGTAAATCATTTTTGCCATAACACGGGCAGTAGCCTCTTAAAGCCCGAATTAAAATGTCTTTATATCTATTTTTTTTTAAATAATCGTTCATAATAACCTCCCCTGCAAGGAAACTTTGAAGCAAAATGAAAGAGTAAAATTCAACAGCTTTCCACCTGTTGATTAATCTGCAAGCTGTCAGAAATGATGTCTAAAAATCTGACAGGGAACGTTTTCACACTGCAATCATGATGCTGATAAAAGAAGCTAGACCTAACCCTAACCCTTTGTAGATACTTTGCTGACATGAGTGGACGAAGTAAAAGAACATCTGAGTCTGTTGTGTGTCCACTAACAGTGTCTGGAAACATTTTCATGTGCGACACTAAGTGTAAGATGAGAGCACAGGACATGAGGTAGACTCTGTTCTCGCTGTATTTGATGGCCCGCCTGTCCTGTAAAATAGTGATGGTCCCATCAAAGCGCGTAGATAAGGCACCATCACATCATCTCATCTCTGAGCACTTTTCTTACTTCAATCCTTTGATAACAGAACTGAAGCACTATCAGAAAAAAAACTACTTTTCTAACATGTGACAATAATCCTGTGCATAAATTTTACCGTTTTCCTCAGAGTTCACCGACCTAACTCAGTGAGACTATTTAACACATCTGTTTGAAATGCACAAACTAGCTCACCAGTCTTTTCGGTTCCATGTAGCTGGGTCTTCGAACGCTGTACGAGTAGTAATTTAACGTAGCGTACTCCATCAGAGCAGCAAAGACAAACAGGAAGCAGACGGTGACAAAAAGGTCCATGGCGGTGACATAAGACACTCTGGGCAGTGATGTCCTGGCCACAGTACTGAGAGTGGTCATGGTCAGAACTGTGGTTATACCTGAAGGACAAACAAAAGTCGTCTCAGTCAAACACAAGTTTTTTGGATCGGTTTCCACTTGGAATGTGACTTTGGTCCAAACTGAGTTTTGTTGTTTGCGCTTGCTAACCACATCAATATAAAGTGACACAATGCCGACATTAAAATCTCTACGGACACTTGAGCTGGTGATGCAGAATTATAATAATATCTGTGGAAAAACAACACAAAAAAGCATTGCGTGTTCAGTGTCTCAGACAGTCCGGCAAAAGCCAGGCAGGACGAGGATTACACAGCCGAGAGATTCTCATCGACATAAATATCGACACATCTGTGAGGTGATTGCCTCGAGATCCTTTATGATCACATTAGACGCTGAGACGCAAGAGAACACTGATGGTTTCATTTCAATGAAAGTGCAGCACTGAAAACCCCGATGAGTACACAAAGACAAGGTAGTCGCAGTGAAGAGATCAGTGATACTGTTGCTTTAAACACAACAGATCACCACAAGCAAAGAACCCATTTACCCATTCGTTAAAGTTGCCTTTCAGTGCTGATCACCAGCTCCACATATTTAGTTTTGGACTCTAGAGTAGCTGTGCGTGTTCAAAACAGGCCTCTCAGTTCATCCTCTGTTTTAGTTCTGTATATTTTCCTAGCTCCATCTCGATTTATGGGGTGTAAGGCAGGTGTGGGTGGGTTGGGGCTGGAGCGTATCCCAGCTGTCACCAGGTGAGAGGTGTACAACCCGTTTACCAGTCTATCTATCACAAGGTTAACAAAGGGACTTGTGAACCATTCACATCCAATTCAGAATCACCAATTTATCTAACATGCATGTCTTTGGCCTGTGGGAGGACGCCAGGAGAACGTGCAGACTGCACATGGAGAGTTCCAACTCAGGAACCTCGTGTTGTGAGGAGACTCTCCTAACCCCTGTACCTCCTCTGTATTATAAATAATAATAATCATGAGCAATCATACTAATAGCACGTAAAAACAAAAAAAGTGACAAAGTAGGTGACTGATCACGCGAATGTTTTTGATTAACATATCCTTTGTCAGCACCACCAACAACACTTGTGTTTGGGGTTTGATGCGACTGATGGGCATGAAGAGTGATAATGAGCAACACGTGTGGGAATTCATCCCATGTAAAAATTACAGAAGCGTATTTACGTGCAGTCCTTCAAACACACAGTTATTTCTTATGTTGTATTAATTCATATTTTCCTATTAATTGTCGTGGGGTCGCTCTGTATTAAATTAGTTACAGTAGGCCTTTATTTTATTTTGCTTGTGCTATTTAGTCGTGTTAGAAGCCAAATGTGTCATTTATGTGACAAACGATGAATTAATTAGATATAATGAAGACCTCTATCCCTCCAGCATCTCTGAATAATTTCATTTGTTCGCTCGCCAATCTCGCTTCTCTGTGAGCTTTAAAGAGATGCCTTTAAAGGAAAAAAAAAAAAAACATCCGTTACTGTTTCACTGAGGTTCCTATGGTAACAGGCTGGCCCCATCTATTTTAGGCGGACATCTCGCACTTTTCCTTTAGCCTTTGCTTGCCACAGTGATTACTCTTACCTGACTTCTGCTGTTGCTGTGACACAGAGTTTTTCCTCTAAACAACAGCATGAAAAGCAGGCTGGATGAGAGGAACGTCTCAGAGGCATTTTACTTTTTACTGACAGCTTAAAGTGTGAAACTATGAGGTTCTGTAAAGAAATGTTCATAGAGTATAAGCATGCTACCAAACAAAGTTAGAAGTGTAAGTGTGTAAGTCAGCTGAAAGGTTTTCTGACCTTGACTGAGTCCTAAAGGGGCTTTATCTTTACTCCCACACTGGCCTGGCTTGCCAGATACATTTACAATCAGCTTACATCTAAGATCCATTCATTATCTTCATTCTTCTTCCCGACTTGCAAGCGATTGATCGGCATGCTTTAGAGCAAAGATGACAGATTAAAAGCACTCGTTCATTTTCTAACTCTGTGTGAGCGAACAGTATCGAACACGGTGATGGTGGGCGATACAGGGAGCCTTGTGACACCGAGCTGTAGCATTTTCCTTTTTAGCTCCAATAACAGCACATTCATCAGCAAAAATATAATTTCACACAACAGTGGTAAAAACAGCTTACACAGCTACATTTAGAGGGCTTATAAATTTGAAATTTTAGTGGTTAAACTCAGCATTTTATCCAATCCTTTAACTCAAGGCTGGGTCAATATTTCCTCACTCAGATGTGAATAATGGAGAAAAAGAGAGAAAATAAAAATTGTTACCTTCACAAAAAATGTTCCACAGGACTGCACAACAACAGAAAGCATGCACGAAAGAGAAAAACACAAAAGAGCAGACAGATGGAGTGATTTTAGTGACAAATATCTGAGAAGCACATAAAGATGAATCCTCAAAAACACATAACTAAAAAGTGCAAACTTAAATCTTGTAAGTGGGATGTTGAAGTAATGCTTCCTGTATTATTTCCATGTATTTAATGCGGTGCAGTACTGTTCCTTTAAAGACAGACCCTCAGGTGTCATCAGTTCACTGTACCTAAAGCTGTTCTGGCTGGAGTGGCATCTTTTTTAATCCAGAAGGACACCCAGGACAAAACCACAGTGAGGATGCAGGGGATGTATGTCTGGATGGTGAAGTAGCCCATTCTTCTGCTCAGGTCAAAGTACACGGTCATCACCACGTAGTCGCCTGTGTGTGAAAATAACAACCATGTGAAACTTCTGGATGGTTCAATCAGTTGTTCTGATCATGTAAAAAATTCCACACAATGGGGTGGTTCTTTTCATTTCGATATAAAGTGCAAAAAATAAGACTTGTTAAATACTGGTGCAATTAACCATTAACTACATATCGCAAACCTTTGGTAAATAAGTTTACAAGCTTTATTTAAATATTCTCCCCCCTATATGTTGCGACTTCAGAAGGAATTTCATGCAACAGGGTCAGTTGTGAAACTGTGACTTCCCATACACTTGTTACTGCACTCTGTAAATAGAAAACACTTTTTTTATGCCAAACCCTAGTTTGTGCTGGGGCAGGGCATTAGTAAATCTGGCCAAAGAATGCAAGCTGAAACAAAGATTGTGGAAAAGTCCACAAATGTCTTCTTCTTCTTTCTTTTTTTTTTTTTTTGCAATCCCTGCATTGTTACCATTTAAATAAGTACATAAATGGCGATCGTGGCTCAAGAGTTGGCAGTTCGTCTTGTAATCGGAAGGTTGCCGGTTTGAGCCCCGGCTCCGACAGTCTTGGTCGTTGTGTCCTTGGGCAAGACACTTCACCGGTTGCCTACTGGTGGTGGTCAGAGGGCCCGGTGGCGCCAGTGTCCGGCAGCCTCGCCTCTGTCAGTGCGCCCCAGGGTGGCTGTGGCTACAATGTAGCTGCCATCACCAGTGTGTGAATGGGTGAATGACTGAACGTGTAAAGCACTTTGGGGTTCTTAGGGACTAGTAAAGCACTATACAAATACAGGCCATTTGCCATAAATGTCCCAAACAAACCAACAAACAGCAGTGAGTGACAACAGCTCGCTGTGAAGCAGCTAAAAAGATTAATAAAATAACCTTTAAGGTCACTTATCATACACGAGTTACACAAGTTCCGTTTAAATGTGCAAACAGTTTTTCAACTGCATTAAAAAAAAAAGGTCTAAAAAGTATATCAAAAGTGCCCTAAACACGCATTTATTTTAAAGGCCACCAGAGGGGCGTGATCCGTTGTTGCAAAAAGACTTTCCTTTTCTGTATAAATAAATACGTACTGTTTCTGGTTTATGGGCTCAGTAACTTATATCAGGTTATGCTGATTAAAACATCAAGTTCATTTTGTACATTTTGGTTATTCCAAGAGGAAGATTATCCAGGGTATGCTCACTGGCTAATGACTTCCCGCTTTCCCCTTCCCCTTATCACATCTGGTTTAAAAGCGCAAAGATGGCAATGGCTAAAAAGCTGCTATCGAGGCTTCATAACAAGACTTGATATACAAGCCAATATGTGATTTCTTGTATGCTGTCTGTGGTTTTACTTCAGTCCTTTAGATTTGGTGCAGTAATACATTATTTGTATATGATTTTAACATAAATTTCTAATTAGGATTAGGATTCAACTTTGTCATTACACATGTATAAATACAGGGTAACGAAATACAGTTTGCATCTAATCAGAAGTGCAAGAGCAGAAAATGCTATAAGAGTAGATTATATACAGATAAGGGTAGTATAAATTGTGGAATAGTTATGAACAGATTATGTAAAAATAAGTTAAGTATACAGATGTTTATATTGCTATAGCATTAAATACTGGTTTTACAGTTTGGCTGCCTAATCTGTCCAATTATGGCCCAGTATAGAATGGCTGAAAACCAGTGCTGGCTCTCCAACACAAATCCTGTAGGATTAATATTGACTACTTGACCAAAAACCAGTGTGTGACGATGAGCAACGTAGTCTGCATTTCTACCTGCACATCAGATTAATCACTTTGAAGTGTTTTTTTTTTTTTGGCTTATTCATTTATATATTTATTTGTGTGTGTGTAGTTTATACTGTTAATGAGTAATTATGTGATAATGACATTTCAGGCCATGTTACAGAATAATAACTAATAATAATTAATTTATTATTAAATAATAATTCCAATAAAGTAACAAGTATTAACTTTTCTTTTCTTTTTTTTTTTTAAACATGGCAAATGAAAAGATACTGTTGCACATGTAACCAGGTGGAACTGTGAGTTAGGGTAACACGAGAACGACAGACCACAATCATAATCTTCATTTTGTTTTCCACCTGGCTGGCAATCACATGTCTTTAAAGACAGCAGGCAGGCAGCAGGGAGTAACATGTAATCTGTCAGCCATTAAAAAACAAGATCAGGTAATTCTACTGTTGAATCTAATAAAGGCAGCACTGTGCAGTGAGCCTCTATTTCCCAGCATCACAGTCAGTGTGCTTGCCCTTGCCCTCAATGGGCAGTATCACTGTGAACATGTGTAAGGATATTTAGATATGTGACAGTTAATGGAAGTCTGGTCATATAAAATGCAACAGTTCCAGTTAAAATTTCTTTATTGATGGTTTTTGCAATTAATTTATTTTCATTAAAGTTTAATGTTCTGAGAGATTGTTACTAATTATCAAATTTATGTTGGCACATATATAGATGAATTATAAATTGCTTCGTTCGGATGATAAATGAACGCCCCCAGAGGAAATCTGATAAGCGAATATTGAGAATTTATTTTTCCTTTCAGGTATTTCTACAGTGAGTAATGAAACTTTCCTCAGTTTGCCTTTGAAAAGAGTCTCACAGCTGCTTGTGAATTATTTGCCTGCACACAGACCCCTGAATACAACACCACAGAGTCGAACATAGATTACATATGGATTACACAAAGACACAAAACACGGAGACTAAATCCACGGAACAGCTGCAGAAAGTTCCACAAGATGCTTGGAACAAATGACCTGCCTCATTTTATTTCTGCTTACTGCATGTTGTATGAAGTATTTTTACTTTTGGAAGAGTTTTTACTTAATTTTAAGAGCCAAAAACCTCTGAACAGTACTGTATAGCATTTCTAAAAATACAAGAGCTGAGTCAGCCTTATGCAGATCACATACAGCTTCCTGTGAATGCGGGCCCTTATAAATTATTTCTCTCTACAGCCGATGTTTAATATTACATTACATTAAAATACATTAGAAAAAGTTATGCTTTCAGTCAGTGATAATCCATGAAGTTAACTACTTACACCCTAAAAGAAATTTGCTGACATAACATCAGAACCCGTTTTCGATACTACATATACATCATTGTCATTTCTTTTTTTTTTGTAAAACCTTTTCATCCGTTTACACTCTGTAATTGCTTTTCTGTATTTTAGTATCAGCGTCTGTGGTAAAGTAATTCCAAACGTTTTCATTTACTGTCGTGTTAGTGACATCAGCCTCATCTCCCAACCACACAGGCAGTGAGAAGTGTGAGTGGTGTAAATGCTGAGCTTCATCGAATATGTCAAAAAAAAAGGAGAAGAATAAAAAACTGTTTGTGGACACAGACGTTCACTGTTCCTGCAGTAACTGGCAACATTAATGAAGTCAAGTAGGGCTGAAATTAAACATTTTTATATATAAGAATTTTATGAATATGAAAAAAATAAGTTTTTTTTTTACTGCCATTATGTCAGCAGACTGTAACAAATCTTAAAAGATGAGAGCGTCCTCAACGCCTCTGAAAGCCTGTGAATGCGTTTCAGCATGAATGCTGTTTTCTGTGGTACTGATGCACAACAGCAGTTGCCCCTTGACTCTTTATTTTAGTTAAAAAAAAGTTATGGAAGTTTAACACATGTTATGGAAATTGATTTTTTTCCAGTGGAAATCCAAACGCTCTCAAGTACCGAGTCCACCAAGTCAGCAGGTGACAACACAAACTGCACACAAGACAAAAAGTAATAGTGACGTGGCTTCGAAAGCGTTGGCAATAAAGCACACTAACATTAATAAGCTGCTACAGTAGCTAGTTTGCCATACTTTGAAACCTTCTAGATGCAAGTGTGATAATGGTGTCCTGGACCTCATACTGATGAAGCATTACTTCATCCTCATGGAACATGCTGCGCGTTCTTCTTTTTATTGATTGCTATTATCTATAGTTTGCAAGATGATGCCAATTAGTCTGCAAACACTTGCCAACTAACCACCAACTGGTTGTGAAAGAAAACCAAAAAACCAAAAATCAAACCAGAAACGGAAAAAGTGCCTTTGAAACCAACATGTTTCAAAAGGTGTAGATTTTAGTTTGAACGTGAAGGGCCTCTATTTCCTGTTAGACTTTTCAGTTTCTTTACCACTTCACGAGGAGTTGATGAGTATATGTATTATATACTTATATATAATATTATATATTTTTCCTATGGTCATCTTCACCCACTTTGGGAACCACTGGGCAAAAACGCGTTCAGTGAACTGTATTTAATGACAGATGGAGAAATAAAGAGCTGTATTTTGGGGACCTTTACTGTTTGTAATCTCAGTGTAAACAAAAAGATAACAGTAAGTGGTCTAACTAATGAATATGTATTTATCTTAGTAGGGACCTCCCAGGGAAAGCAAGAGTTTGACTTTGCAGTTTAAACAGAAAGAAGTCATTTTTCATTGACAAACTGGATGAAATCCCGCAGTGGGAGTGGAAGGCAGTGAAAGTCCTGTGAATATTTTATCTGTTGTTTCTTGCCAGATTTTCTTATTATTGTTGCCGTTTCTTATCTGAGCATGATAGTCATCTAATATCCCAAATTAGTCTCCAAACAGTTTGGCTAAACATGATTTCGTAACACAAATCGTTACACAATAAAAGAATGAAGGAGTGGAAATGAAGCGGCACCGTCTCAATGCGCGCCGACTCCAAATATCAACCCATTTCCAGCCTGTTAGCAGCAATGTTTACGAATGTTAAACAGATGAATTTGTGCTTCTTTACCTGCTGTAGTCTTTATGACGTCTGTAGTGTTCCTCAGGCCCATAAAATCAAACTGGTACAGACGCCAGGACTTTTGGTCAGCCGCCTCCACAGAGTTCTTCCTCCACTTGTAAATCATTTCATCTTGTGGGTATCCATCTGCAATTACACAGAGCATATGTGTGTGTGACCCTTGGCACTACATGTCACATCCTAATGATGGATACCCTGTGCAGACAGACCGAGGGCCACCCGGAGCAACATTTGTCTTAAGGTGGATGCTGGCTAATGAAAAGACTGGCATGAAGACAGAAGCAAAAATAAAGCAGATTAAATGAAAGCTTTGGTTCAATAAGGTAGTGAGTCCATCTAAATGTTACGTCTGACCTTCACGAGCTGCACACAGAGCCTGGAAGCGCTTTTACAATTGATCATGTGAGGTTAACGATGGGTTAATGATTCCATTTCTGCTCTGGTGTCATGCTAGCCTGAATCTTTAACACACACATAATCATTTTAAGTAGAAAGGCTAACAAAATTATGATCCTGCCTGACAGCAATTTGATTTAATAGGGTTTCAATTAACAAAAAACATTAACCGTGAGGGAACTGCTAATTGTTTTCAAACATGCTTGATGAATGACTTCTATTAACATTTTCCACAAGTCTTCCATTCGCCATTAATGCTGTCATTAAATATTTACCAAACCCTTCGTAAAACTAAAAATGTATAGAATACAACATCTGTTGAGAGCACCGCTTTACCCAAACTAACTTCATTCATGGCCTCCTACACTGGATTTGCATAAAGCATTAGTAATGGCTCGAAGATACGTAATGCATCTGCAAGGGAACAAAATCCATATAATGCACATCAGCAAGAAAGGTTACAATAGTTAGCTAAAAGTATATCATAACAATGATAATATAATTCAACATAAAACAGGCTGATTAAAAGCTTGACTCTATAAAAATATCTTCAGCTGCTTCTTTAAAAGAGGAAGTAGAGTCTGTGCTGTGTAGAGAGAGCAGAAGAGAATTCTACAACCTTGGTAAAACTGCCTGAAAAGTCCAATCGCCACAACTTTTAGAGCTGTTAGTGGGGCCAGCAGCAAAAAGTCTGAGGTTTCAGCAGGTCATGATTTACTGGGGAGATCCACCATGGAGGTCTTAAAAGTTAAAACTAAAAATTTAAAATTAATTCTAAAATGTTTGGTAAAACATGAAGAGAAGCCAAAACTGGAGTGGTGAGTGATCTTCTGTTGGCACCAGTTAGAAGTTCTGTGACAGGATTCTGCACAGTCTTAAAATCTGAAGTAAAAAGACTGTTACAAAAATTCCAAATACGAAGAGATAAAAGCATGAAAATTCATCTCAAGTTCAGCCTTCGACACCAGCATGATTGAACCGAAAAGTCTGAAGAAGCTGATATGCCATCTAATTTAAAGCAAAAGAATCAGACCCAAAAGAGATCCCTGAGGTACTCCACGAGGCAGAACGGTTGTTTCAGACGTCAGCTGTTTCATACAAACAGTAACAGATTTATCTGAGAGATATGACACGACAAGAACAACAACAAATAAAAATGTGTTTAATTTAAATCTGTGGTTATTTGGTCAAATTAATCCCATAACCAGCAAAAGCAGGTATTGATCCATATGCATGTTTTCAGAGACTGGGATTTCTAGATGACTGTGGGTTCACTGTTCACATTGTAATATATCATCAATAATATCAGTATCAGCACCCACTTTAATCGGCAGTGTTGGGGAGTAACGGAATACATGTACCGCCGTTACTTTTAAAATACAAATATGAGTAACTGTATTCCGTTACAGTTACCGTCTTAAAAAGGTGGTATTTAGAATACAGTTACTTTGTTGAAATAAATGGATTACACGGCGGTATTTTCCTGTTTCATATTGTGGCGGGTCAGGACTGTTTGGGTTTTGTTTGACAGCTATGTTCTGTTGTTCTTGCCATGGTTACAGGGTGACGCTTCGCGTGTGTTTCCTGGGTGAGAGAGCGTTTGTTGTTGTTGTTGTGCTAAGCTAATAGGCAGAATGCTTCAGGCATAGCCCTAAAGAATGTAGCTCATGGGCAGTGTAGTCCGTGCTGCAGGGAGAATGGACTGCCATACCCGTTATGTGTCTGTGAGCGCGAGGAGGGAGAAAAAGGAGAGTGGAAAAGTACGAGCTGTCATTGAGCAGAAACGGGAGCTGGAAGCATGTAAATATAATAATAACCACTGCAGCCAAGAAGAGTGCCTGACGAGCCCAGTTGTAAGTAAGCTATTAAGACTCGACTGTACACTGTGTTCGTGTTTTCCTCCGAAACAATAAGTTCCGTTGGAGCAGCCTTTCAACGCCTGTCTCTGTCTCTCGCAAGCAAAGTTGACCCAGACAACAAAGTAAAGCTAGTTTTCGGCTTCGAGCCCAACACGAACCCAACGTATTAGCCAGAGGTCCCTTTTCTACGGTTCGGAGCCGCGGACCTTCAGCAATAGTAAGAAATCACACAGCAATAGTACATTCATGTAGTTGTAAAAAGCATGATAATATATTAAGTAATCCAAAGTATTCAGAATACGTTACTCTCATTGAGTAACGTAACGGAATACATTACAAAATACATTTTGGGGCATGTATTTTGTAATCTGTAGTGGAATACATTTTAAAACTAGCCTTCCCAACACTGTTAATTGGTACACCTTGCTAGTAGCGGGTTGGCCCTCTTGTCATCACACAGTTGCTGCAGATTTGTCGACTGCACGTGTATGATGTGAATCTTCTGTGATGACTGTGGAGGCTGTGAGTGTGGGTACAGTCATTCAGTCACTGCTACGTTCAAGAAACCAGTGTGAGATGATTTGAGCTTTGCAACATGGTGTGTTATCTTGCTGGAAGCAGCCATCAGAAGATGGTACACTGGGGTCATAAACGGATGGATACAGTCAGCAACAATAGTCAGTCAGGCTGTGTGTTTATATGATGCTCAGTTGATACACGAGCAGCAGCCAGAACCTTGGACACAAGGTAGAGCGAATGCTTTCATGATGTTTACGAGAAATCGAGACTCATCAGACCAAGCAAAATGTTTCCAATTTTTAATGCATCCATGTAAACTGTAAGCTCAGTTTCCTGTTCTTAGCCAACAGCAGTGTAACCCAGTGTGGGATGCTGCTGTAATCCAGCAATCTGGCCTTTCTCCATCTCTCCTCTGACCTCTGACATTGACAAGGCAGAGAACTGCTGCTCTTTACACAGGTGCCTAAAGAACGCAGAGTTACTTCTTTTGGTCAGGTTGGAGACATTTTGGTGGTGGTTACCAGTTCAAGAGCAATGTCTCCAAATTTTCTGAATCATTTCCAGGTTTACATGGAAATATTTATTTGAATTCCTTTTTGGAAATCTGTTAAAATATTGGTTTGGTCTTTAAGAAAAAGAACTTTATTAAAAATAATAAACAAAACCATCAAAGTATTAGTATTTAAAAGTATCAGTGAGGGAATTTTGTCTTTAAAATGCTAGAAATTTGACATGGGAGTGAGGACTCCTATTTGTAAAAGTGTCATGCTCCTTACCAGAGATTGTATATTTTTTCTATATACAGCCCATGCTCCTGACTGAAAGTACAGTGTTGTGGTTTTTGCCTCTGCTGCAATTGGAGCTGGTATCTCAGTCTCTTCTACAATTGATTTTTCCCCGAGCTCTGGTGTAAAATTGCAAGTATGCAGATCTATAAAGCTGATTAGCTGACAATGACGAATGAGGTTTGTCATTGGTATTGTTTTTTCTGTTTAATTCTGTTGTAATGAAGCCACAGTAGCTGCACCTGAAGCATCTGGCTGTTTCACAGGTTCCCAAAGGAGAAAAATAGGTCAGTGGCTTTGCGTGATCATTTCTGCAGGAAATCCAGTGAAAAAGAGATTATCAGGATCATACAATAACACTACTCATTTAAAACTGCAGGAAATTGGATAGCTCTCAGTAATGACCTGGAAATGAAGGACTCATCTGAAAACATGTAATATCCTCAGTAAACAGTTTTTATTACCAGGAGTTACAATATTCCCTCCAAAATGTTAATTTCTCACAAAAACATGCAGAAGAACCGAGTGATAAATTCTTTTGAGGAGAGCAATGATCTACAGACACATTTATCAAATAGCTGGTAAACAGAGTGCAGTGGTTAAAAGCATGGCAATGACCAAAAACAGAATAACAACAGAATAAGAGTGAACACTAATTTCTAATAAGTACATCCGCCGGATGTGTAAGCTCCTTATGGACACGATTTTGGAAGTCAACTAAAAAAGGACAATAAAACAAACTCTTAGGAAAAAAGTGTGAGACTAAACAAATGGAGGAAGTTAATGGTGACTTTAAGGTTGATGAGCAGTTTTCTCTGATAACTTTCTCACCTAATAAATTCAATTCAGTTTTATTTGTATAATGCCAAATCACAACAACAGTTTTTTCAAGGTGCTTTATATTGTAAGACCAAGACCCTACAGTAATCGTGTAGGGTCTTTATTTCAGTAATTAATGAAAATAAAACTATTATATATAGTTGATATATTGCACAAACCAGAAACATTCAAAACATGAATAAAATATATGAAAACAATATTTTTGGATACAAAGTTTTAGTGTGATAAGAATGCATAACTTCAATCAATCCAGCACGTGTCTATGAGATAGTACTCTTTATACAGCTTTGCAGCTCAAAGTAATTTACAGAACAACATATGCAAAACAGCCAAGCGCGCACACACACACACACACACACACACACACACACACACACACACACACACACACACACACACACACACACCACACACACACAAATAAAAAAATTAAAAGAACAATAATTGAGAGGATTAAAAAGTACAATAAGTAATTTAAAAAAGGTAAAAAGTGTGAGCAGAATTAATATTAATTCTAATAAAAGTCAGGTCAAAAAGGTCTTTAGGTCTTTAGCTCAGCTTTATGCATTAACATTAATGAACAGTTTCACATTCTAACCTTTCTTACTTTAGAGTAAGTAACGAGCAGCTAAAAAATATGTTAGATGGGGTGCTATCAAACTCCCTAAAAATATGAAGGTACATCAAAATATTATGACAAAAGTTATGTTAAGTTTGTGTTTCCAGCCACCTGGAACAGGTATTACACATGCCCTTCCCTGTGCTCACTATTTACTTCCTCACTGTGTGTCTGCTGTCTGTTTCCACAGGCTGTAAAGAGCAGGAAGTCAGCCTCCTGAGTGCTTGGAAAAAAGGTTGCTGATGGGTCTGAACAAAAATCAGAACGACGAGTTGAAAGACTATAAAACATTCCGTAAAACATCTGTGAAGTTTACATTTAAGTTTAGGATTAAACTTGACATCAGAGGAAACCCCTTGCATGTTTTCTGCTTCTCATTTGCTGAATAGCTACAGAATCTATATCCTGCTCTCTTCATCTGTGTGCACTGCATTGAATCATGTGCCGTGTTGATTATTCTAATCCTCCAGAGGCATGATGGCTTTTAAAATAAGCAAATCTGACTTAATCTAATCTTAAAACTGACACATCGTCATGGAAACCAGCGTAATGTCAGTTGGTAAGAAAGTGGGTTTATTGGATCACAGCAGGATGGGTCCACAGTCGAGGCAGATCGGCGAGAATATTTTAAACCCTAATAGGTAACACAGGGCGCAAGGTCTCATCACACCAATTCAATCCTCTAATTTGAGAGGCCACTGAAGGTCCACTGCAAATAACACATCACAGACACCTCAAGCTTCAAGTTAGACACGTTTCTACATTCACTGTGAGCCAGGTTTACTGGATGGTAAGGGAGGAGCGAGCCTGAAATCAAGACGGAAACTGCGATGTAAACATCCACAGCATCATATCGTTGTTCCATCTGATGATATCCTTGTGAAGCTGTAATTGTTAGCTGAGGCATGCTAGTCTGGTGAAAGCGGTAATGTTTAAAGATCCTTCAGTTTGGCCTGTGGACAAAACAAGTGGCCAATGACTGGAAGTATAAAACTAGACCGTAACATCTGTACTGGGTGATCTGCTACAAGTAACAGATGTTTAAAAGCCACCAAAAAACACACAAGCACAGACTGTAATAAAATATAGATGTAGCCACTGTGACATCCCCTCTGGCTGCCAGTTTCAAAGCATCGGTTTTAGTATTTTGAGGACAGAAATTACTAAATTATGCTAAATAATCAGCTAACACTGGTTAGCTATGTTCATAAACTGTTGGACCTTTCAACATGGGAGTGTATGGTGACTTGCTCACTTTTAAGCCAGCCTCAAATGGAATCTTGGATGAACTGTTATTTTTGGCCCTGCCATGCTTTATGGCAGGGGTCGGCAACCTGCGGCTCTTTAGTCCGTATAGTGCGGCTCCGCGTGGCTTGGGGAAAATAAATTAGAAGTATTTAGCTGAAGTGTATTTTATTTATTTTAGATCTTTTTTAACTTTAACTAATGTGGATCAACAACTTCCTCTCGGGCCGTAGACAGAGAGTCAGAGTTGGCCATCACACATCCTCAGCCCTGAGTCTCAGCACTGTCCCAGGGCTGTGTGCTCAGTCCACTGCTCTACTCTCTCTACACACACGACTGCACTCCTCGCCACCACAGCAACATCTTTGTGAAATTTGCAGATGACACCACAGTGGTGGGGCTCATTTCCAAGGGAGACGAGTCTACGTACAGAGACGAGGTGGAGCAGCTGACGTCATGGTGTAAGGCCAATAACCTCCTCCTCAACACTTCAAAAACCAAAGAACTCATAATAGATCTTCAGAAGGAAAAAGGCAGAGATCCAACCACTATTCATAAATGGGGACTGTGTAGAAAGGGTGGCAAGCTTCCGCTTCCTGGGAGTCAATATAGAGGAGAACCTTTCCTGGAGTGTGAACACCTCCGAGCTGCTGAAAAAGGCCCAACAGAGACTGTACTTCCTGAGAATTCTCAGGAGGAATAACATCACACAGAAACTGCTGGTGTCCTTCTACAGAGCCACCATTGAGAGTGTTCTAACTTACTGCATATGTATTTGGTACACTAGCTGCACAGGGGCTCAGAGGAAAGCACTCCAAGGGATCATTAACACCGCCCAAAAGATCACTGGCTGCCCTCTCCCCACACTGGAAGTTCTACACAATGCCCACTGTTTTAAAAAGGCCCAAAACATCATAAAAGACGTGATTGCGGGTGCCACTCAGGTACGTCCTCCTAGACCACGCCCCGCCACACACATTAACCAGGTAAAATACATATTTAGGCAGAATTTTGCAAATATCTATTTTTCTTTTTTCAGCAGCAGAGTGCTTTTTTTCCAATTATTTTTTTAAAAGCCAGGTCAAGGCTCCAAAAGCCCAAAGGCGATATAAGGGTGGCGGCTCACAACAGTTTTTATTTGCTACATGGATCGTTTTAGTTCAGCTGGGTGTCTTTCCTTTTGTTATATTTCTTTAAGAGTTCAAAATGTGTTAATTACATAAATAAAATGTAATTTTCTCTGTAGCACTTCATGGATTTCATAAGCAACACACCTTAGTTGTTCACACAAAGCATAAAGGTAAAAAACAATATATACAGTGTTATCTTGATTTTAGATGTCAAAAAGTATTTGCGGCTCACAGTGTTTTCTTTTGCGTGGAAACCAGGTGCAAATGGCTCTTTGAGTGTTAAAGCTTGCTGACCCCTGCTTTATGGCATGCTTATTTTCTTTAAAATGTCCAGGCACTTCTGTATGAGCTTACCCAAAGAGATGTTGCTCAAATGTTGCCATGACTACTTATAACCACACTGAAATGAAAAGCTGAGGATAAAACCTGCTGCCTCTCAGAAATACCTAATTAAATTAAAGAGTTGTGGTAACCATTTGGACAACAGCACAACAATTCTGGGACATGTGACATGGGTCTTCATAATCTCTTTCACACACATAGAGTAATCAGTTAATACAGTTTTTCCAGGTGGACGAACGCATCTGCTCTGCCAAAGTTTTAAAGCCTTTGTAGAGTCAGGAATGTTCCCACATTCTGGTTCTTATATAATGCCTCTCAAAACACTTTATACAACTTGCCTCATTTACCCATCCACACAAGCTCTTTTTCCTACACATAAGTGCTTTTTATCTAATACTCACAATTCAATGAAAACATCATTGAATTCAGTTTCTTACCCAACGATACTTTGGCATATAGACTGGCGCTGCCAAGGTTCGACCTACCAAACTAATCGTTTGGTGGTTTTATGGTTCTTCCTTGAAGTAAACTACATCCTTTACATTAACTGTAAGAAATAAATGCCCCAAAACAAAACTACTAACTGAACAGAACAACTGCTTTTTGGAAAGGTGATATGTACAGGAAGATTTAACGCAATAGGCCACTGGATGCAGACATGTAAAAGTCTTTGTTATACCTAGGTCATTTTTGGTCTTAATTGTTCTCCGTGTTTGTTCAATTTATGTATTAACACATGTTAATATATCCCAGTATACAAAGCAGGATCATATGGATCCTGTGTGACCCGTATAGCTCTGCTCATGGTGAAACAATGCACATAATTTGAAAATGCAGAGGAGTAAAATACATCCTGTACTTCTCATAAACATGGAAGATACAGAAGAAGATGAACACTGCACTGAACACAGCGTACTCACAGCTGGAGAAGATGAGCGGACATGAATGTTCATCCATTGGAAAGTTGTGCAGCTGCAGCTGGCACTCTGCGTTTATGGTCAACCTGCAAAGAGAACAAGATTTTCTTGTAATGAACCTCTTCTGCTTTGCTCCAGATGGTGTAAATTCATATTCAGGTTTTCAAAGTATGATCTCGATGGAATCGGTGGAATGTGAAAGGAGGAACAATCATTTAGCTATAAAAGCGTCCTCGCAGCTACATATTAGGGATTCAAGTATGATAATCAGCTAGTGTGATGCAGCTTCAAGTGTGAGAAACGTCTAAATCACAAAGCTACTGCACACGCGGGCAAAGAAGCTACTCTTCCATTTCAGTTTCAGCTTGTCCTTTGTAACCCCTGTGAAATGCTTCTTTATGTCCTTCCATGGTCATTTCTACCCAAAGAAAACATTGGCCATGAAACAAAACATCTGTGTAACATAATGTTAATACTGAGGGGTTTTTTTTGACTTGATAGAAAGTGAAAGAAGAGAGAAAGTATTTTGTTTCTTCATATACTCATTTAATGATTTACAAAATCTCAAAAATGTGCTCAAATCCTTTTTAGGCCTCAAGCATATAGAGCACTTCATGTTATGCATTTTATTGGATTTTACTTCCAGTTTGGTTTAGTTTCCTATGAGGTTTCTGGCCCACCTTGTTCAGCTATACAAGCTGAATGCCTCGTTACTCTTCGCAGTTAAGCTTTCCAGCTTTGTTAAAAGAGATCTTCAGATTTTCCTTCTGTGTCAATGTTGCCCATTCCTTAAACTCTTGCTTCAGCCTGTGCCTCTGGGAGTTTGATTGCACTGTTTGTTTTGGGGGTGTTTTTTAATTTTATTTGCTCTTTTGCCTGCATATTGCTGGCTTCAGATTAAGCCCAGTAATATAAATTTGAAATTTAGAATAGCCAAAATTATTATTTGATCCAGGGCTGAATCTCTAAGTTTACTCACTTACAAAGAAACAAACAGACTCTTCTAGTTTGAGAGACAAACAAAAAACTAAAATCAAACAAAAACAAATATTATAAAAGTTGCATATTAATTTGCATGTCATTGAGTGAAATAAGTATTCAATCTCCTAGCAAGACTTTGTACTTGGCGGGTAAACTCTTGTTGGCCCGTTTCTTATTTTCGGTCAGCAGGTTAGCCCACATCTCACTTATGCGTTTCAGATCCTGGAAGCGAAGCTCTAACTCTGTTTTGCTGTTGAACTCGCTGACGTATTTCAGTCATTAATTCTTTAAGTTACTTTACAATGAAAAACTTGAAAATTTTGGATGTTCTTCATTTATGAATAATTTTTCTCATTGTACTGCTCATTGTCTCAATCCTAGGCAGTTATTGTGCTACTGCCCATTAATCTGGAATGGGCAGTAGCACAATAACTGCTCAGGATTGAGATACCTCTCTGAGAATAGTCCATCTAACTCTACTCCATGTTCCATGTTCTAAATGTCCCACTGCCACACATGACAGGACACAGCAAGAGTGGACCGATGGCTTAGATCTTTTTTAGTGATGCAAGGTGAATGTGCATAGTTTTATACAGTTTTCATGGCTTTCTCTGGCTGACTGCACTTGTGACAGCCTTTATTGTCCTTCAATGGATTTATAAAACTCAAAAGACAGTCATTTAGGTTGCTGTATCCCTCTCCCCAGGTCTATGTGATTGTATGCACTTTGACATAAAATAATAATATAATTAATAATAGAAAGGGGTAAAGCTGTACTGAGATATAATTAAAATAATAATAAAAAAAAGACAAAACCAAAAAGAGCAAATGGCATTTCTTATTTCACTGAAAAAAAGAGGCTACAGGAAGTGATGAGGATGCCTTGACCTCTTTTTACATAATGGAATTGGTTCTGTTCACACATCAAACCATGTGACTGAGTAATCAACCATTAAAATAAGGAGAAAAAATCTTAAAGGATTATATTAATTATTCCAAAATGGCTTTCCCAATTTAGTTACAGTGAAGTATAAAAGGAATGCTCTGTACGTGTAGATTACATGTGTCACATTAACAAAAAGACGGTAAAAAGCGAACAGCAGAGAGAAGGATCTTTGCAGAGTGACTCTGGTATGATCTTTCAGCCTCATTAAGGCATGGAACTGGGACAATACGATGCATGTGGGAGAGGCATGGATATCACAAAATGTCATCTCTGTTTACTCCAGCCAAGCCAGTGCACAATTAATACCAAATGACATTTCATAGCCTTCTCTCATGCCATCAGCGGATATTACTCCTCAAAGTTTGCACGCTTCTGAATAGAGCTTCATGAGGACCAATCTTTGTTTATGGCTTGACTTGGACATCGAAATGCTGCTACTTCTTTGTTGGATTTACTACTCTGTGTGAATAAAAAAAGTCTGATAGCCTTTAAAGACACTACGTGTGGAATACTTTGCAATACAGTTGCCTCAACAGAAAGTGTCAATTAAAAAATGTGAAGATGTCAAACATAAGGGCGGCTACAAAAAGACCGAGGACAGTCGAGAGATGCTTATTAGCGAAGGAGCATTTTATTATAAATGTGAAGTGCTGCAATTACAAAGAGTGCTCGAGGGTACGAGGGTAGATGCCGCTGTAAATTGGTCTTATATCTCAAGCAACCAATTTGCACTTACAATAGTTGAAGATAGAGGCTAATTGCTCTTGCACTGCTCTGTTTGGACAATTGTGCTGCCTTCATTTTATTATTAAATAAGGACGCTAAATTTCCTTACAAGATGAAATGAATGGATGTTGCTGGCTCAAAGGTGAAGCGGCACAGAAAACATCAAGATCCAGAAAAGTAATTACAAAAATCATATGGAAAAAAAAGTTAATATGCTATGTACCATAGGAATGATGTCACAGGGTTACAGAAATCCCACGTTTACGCAGAGGATTAATGTGCAGGTTTTATGCAGGCAATTTTCTGGACTGGGGAAAATTTTATGTTCTTGCAAGGAGTTAAAAGCAGACAGAGGACATTTGTTTTGCATTGCTGTTACATGCTGTGCAATAAAATAAAATGCCATCACATACTGAAGACGAAACATCCGATCACTTAACGCCTCTTCCTGCTAACTCAAGCAAAATTAGCAGTAAGAACAGTAACATTATCTTAACAACTGAAAGAATAAAGCCCACACTGCAGCATTTCTTCCTGTAATGAGGGAAGTGATATTTGGTGGCACATCAGACCCACCTAAAAACACTGAAACTGGCTCAAATTACAGGATAAATGAGGACAGTGAGAATACAAAGACCCTTATAGAGAGCACATGTATCAGAAGCTTAAATGGGGCCGAATGAAACAACATACATTTCAAATTTTATTTATAAGCACAAATAAATCTATTGTTATACTATGTTCACTATGTTATACTTTAACTATTTGTGTACATAATACTATATTGCCAAATTATAATTATGTGTCCAGTATTAAAACAAACAGAACTAAGAAATAAGCAAATATGGGGACAGACGTAAGAATGTGTGTATGCCATATGCTATTTATGGCACCTCATGCATACTTAGTGGATATACAAGTTTATGCATATACAATTAAGCCATGCTGAGAAGCATAGAGGCAAAAGAACACAAAAGAATGAGAATCTCTGTCCTGGAGTTGCCCAGCAAAAAGCCCAGACTTAAAATGCACCTGAACACTTTGACTCAATGCTTCAACTGCTCTACAAAGTCCAGCAGTAACGGTCTAAATACCTTTCAAAGTTTTCAGTTCAAAACTTCAAAAGCATTTCTTCTGGTGGTGGTTGGTACCACCTCGCAGCAGCCTAATAATTGGCTGGGTGTGGAGTTTGCATGTTCTCCCTGTGCCTGCATGTGCTAAATGGACTGAGCTTTATACAGTCCTTTTCTACTCTGCTTGAGTACTCAAAGTGCTGAACAGAACATGCCTCAATCACCCATTCACACACATTCATTGAAGCACTTGTTTCTACACCAAAGTGCTTTCTAGCTAACACTCACATAACAGAAAGCAACTTGGGGTACACTATCGTGCCCAAGGATACTTTGGCATGCAGATTGGAGCATCAAACCACTAACTTTTCGATTAGTAGATGATCTACCCTCCTGAGCTATTTATGTAGACACACTGTAGCAAAGTGGCAACCTGTCTAGGATGTACCCCATCTGGACAGCTGGGATATGCTCCACCCCCAAGTTTAATAAGCGGCTACAAAAATTAACTGAAGAATGTATGGATTAAGTACAGGGAGGTTCATCTTTGTATGCATGTAACTGGGGCATGATTTTCACAGAGGCATTTGCAAGTGAAGAAGCGTCTGTGGTTAGTGATCGCACTAGATTTTTAGGGCACTGTACGCTTTCTCGTGTCAGGACACTGAATTGGACTTTGGGGGTCAGGTCAATTCGCAGGATTAAAGGGTTCCTTACACTCTCTGACTGTGTCTCCATATTTGTCCGGGTATGCTGAGGGACAATTCTGCATATCTTCTGACTGTGTTGTATTACAGTAAAACATGAACAGATGTCTGTGTTGAGTTCTGTCTTTACCTTAAGGTATAAAGTATCTTCCCATCGTTCCATATCCTGAGCAGCTGGTTAGGCATTGTAATCCAGTGGGAATCTGCAGTCTTGGAGTTTCTGAAGATGGTGTCAGGTAGCCAAATAAGTCCAACCATGTTGCTGTTCAGAGTCAGTATTTTCATTGTGCTGTTGTATCTGAGGCGACTGTCGGTCCACGTCTGGGCAAAGATGATGTCAATTTGATATTCCTAGAAAAACAAAACCAAACAATGCATCATTTTTTTTTTTGCCATATTATAATCCAAACTATTAAAAAATAAAATACTAATGCTGTTCTGTGGCTATGGGGAGAAAACAGGAGCGATGTCACCTGCTAACCAGGATTATTGAATTTCTGTTTGTGAATGACTCTTTATAGGAGTATTGTGTGTGTCAGAAACACATGAGTCTATACCATCAATCATGTGTCATTTTCACCGGGGTCAGCGTCTATCATTTTACGTATTCACTTGGCCATACGTGACCAGTGATGCTCATTCCATCATTGGTCTGACCTTTCAAATGCTACATTATTTTTTATCAATTTGTATTTTTTTGAATAAAATAATAATTTACTACAATTAATGTGAAATATGTAAATGAGAATGAGACAGCTGATGGACAGACCGATGGCACGCCTGTGTTAACCAGCAGACCTGTGAAATGTAAAAAAAAAATCATATTGTTAAACACACTGCTGCTCACTGTATTCATTAAAATACTCAAAATCTATTAGTTGTCCTTCATTCAAGCCTGAAGAGTAGGATGGACAGAGCTCTTCAGTCTGCAGCATCAAGACTCAAGAACAATTTACCACTTCAGCTCCATTTAGCTGACTCTGTGAAGTCTTTAAAAGAAGAACAATTGAACAGCATTCATTTTAAACTACAAAAACCCGTCCATGAACGTCTGTCCATCCATCCATCCAATTCAGGGTCGCAGGGTGGCTGGAGCGTATTCCAGCTGCCATTGAGCAAAAGGTGGGGTAGACTCTGGACAGGTTCCCAATCTATGTCAGGGCTAACACGGAGAGACAGCCCACCATTCAAATTCACATTCACACATTTTTCTGCATTTTTTTTAACCCTGAGAGTTTCATAAGGTGATATCCACATGAAAAATGAAAAGAAAAAAAAAATTAGGCATGAAAAATGCATTTGAAACTGACTGTTTTCTAATATTTTACTGGAGAAAAGTACAATAAGTGCATTCTGGGTAAATTGTCAAGGCTCCATATCACCAAGTGCTGCTCAGTACAGGTTAGAGCAAATCACAGGTCTCCTTTTACCTACATTTGATACCACGATCATTTTGTAGCCATTATTTCTTCTTAGTCAAATTATTTTAGAATTTTCATGGTAAAGTGAAAACTGAACCTGACATTCTCTCACTTATTTACATTTTTAGTCTTGACTCACTCTACTTCTTATCTAACTCTCAAATACATTATCTGAATCTTATCTCATGTAGGTTTTTAAATTCTCTCCTAATATTAAAACTACTTACTAACTCTGCCAAGAGTTATTATCAAAAAGCTTATATGCAGGTTACAGTCTTCCATTTAAGCAGGGAGGAAAATGTGAAAATGAATCCAGTAGCATACCACCGAAGAGCCGATGATGCTGTTGATATAAAGTCTTTTTTTTTTCAGGATTTAAAACCAAACAAATATACTGTTATGACACTTCCTGGTATTTGTGGTGGTTTTAGCACCTGAAGGTGTAAAGTGGCAGTGAAAAGCCTCCTGCATTTCTCATGAGTAAATATATGTTCTCAATGTACAGTTTGGCCCGGTGTTGCTCTTATAAGCAAGCACGACTTCACTCAGTACGCTGAAATCCTGCACTCTATGGTAGCAGCACTCATGGAGTTGTGGAGGTTTTCTTGGTCTGCAGATGATGCTTAGACATTCACTCAGTACTTTTTAAAACATAAGAAAATAAAACTAAAACAAAAAGTTATTTAAGACACAACGTGATTAAAGAACCACATCACTATTACATTAATTGCACATAGGATGCAATTTAATCAAGCTAACAATTGACTGTTATTCAAAAGATACAGTAACTATCCGTGTTGTGACAAGAAAACATATAAATCATGTAGATGAGCAATGATGAGTTGTGCTAGTGCGATCTGCGATATGCCAAGCTAAAATTCTCCTCAGCAACAGCTGAGTTCTTACAGTCCTCTGGTAACAATACAGACAAAGAAGTGAAGCATAATGAAATTAATGATAGCCTGCCCTCCTCCAGCAACCTACATCTTTTTATTCTGCTGCCACTGCCGGAGATGCATTTGACCTTTTACCCAGTCTCTGCACCAGTTTGAATAGCTCACCAATTAGAAGGAAGTCCATAATCAAGAGAACCACTGGGTACTCATGACCTTTAATTGTGTGGTGCTCAGGGGAAAAAAATGTAAATAATATCCAGCACTTAATGACCAGTGAAAGAACAGAGCTGCAGATCAAACAATGAAACTTAATATGAGTTGAATCACATCTGGAAACAGTCAGCTGCAGGTGGAGGGAGAGACGTAACCCTTACACATCAGCAATTCTAGCTTTGAGTGTGTTGTATAATTTCACATTAGAGGTAATTTTAACTATTCTGAAGGAGTATCGATCACACTTCCCCTCCCTGCTGCTTGCAGCTGCTTCCAGTCATTACAGCAGGTGTTACTGTGAAGAAAATGGGTCTTTCACCTCAAATGCCTCAGAGGAGCAGCTATATTAAGATTGCTGATGTAGAGATACTGTACATACTCATGTTAAATTTAAAGGTGCTGATGTGCATTACAAATGGACTCCACATGATCATTTCATTCAATATAAAGTACAGAATAAAAGATGTTCATCTTTCACTTTAACCAGCAAGGTTTTGATTTGCTGTCCAGTAAGAAAAAAAAAGAATACTGCAGCACGTGACAACAGCGTTTCCAGCTTTGTGTTGGCAGTTTGGGAAATGGCCCACCTCATTTCGATATGGCAATGTCTCTCTACAAAAAGACAGAGGCATGAAAATAATGATTTTCCCAATTTGGTGTGACCTTCATCCCATTTAACACTATTATGATTAACTGCAATGTCACCTGTGAGCCAGGTGTTATCAATAAACTGGAAGAGTTGGACCTCGTTATTGCTTCTGTGGCTAAATGGGACCAAATCTCTGCGACCAGGCTTGAGCACCTGTGGAAAGACCCCAACTCCCCTCATTGTGTGTGAGTAAACCATTAAATTTCAGTTTTTGGGGAGTGGGGGAGCATGTAGTTCTTTTGTGCCGGCCGACTTCAAATTGGACAAACTTTGACCAATTGTGAACTGTCCCGACAGCTTGTGACATTCGAGTTCCAGAGAAAATTTTAAACTAATAGGGCAGCACGGTGGCACGGTGGTTAGCACTGTTGCCGCACAGCAAGAAGGTCCTGAGTTCAAATCAAACATCAGAAAGGCTGGGGTCTTTCTGTGTGGAATTTGCATGTTCTCCCCGTGTTTGCGTGGGTTCCCTCCGGGTACTCCGGCTTCCTCCCACCGTCCAAAGACATGCAGCTTGTGGGGATAGGTTAATTGGATAATCCAAATTGTCACTAAGTATGAATGTGAGTGCGAATGGTTGTCTGTCCCTGTGTGTTGGCCCTGTGACAGACTGGCGACCTGTCCAGGGTGTACCCCGCCTCTCGCCCTATGACAGCTGGGATAGGCTCCAACGCCCCCCGCGACCCTGAAAAGGATAAGCGGATGGATGGATGTTAAACTATTTTCTTCAAGTCGGAGAATGGTGCATATAATTTAATTTTTGCTTGATGCATAAAGTTAAAAGATTAAAACTGATAAAACAAGTTTAAAAAAAAGAGACTTTTCCATTTGATTACTTTTTGTATGATGGATTATGCAGAAAAAGTAGAATTGGGCTGAAAGATCTATCGCTTTATCACCTATTCAGGTTGTAAATTATGTTTTTTAAAAAGTAACTAAGTAACTAAGTAATTAATTACCTTTGAAAATAAGTAACCAGTAAAGTAACAAGATTACTTTTTTGGGGAAGTAATCAGTAATTAGTTACTGATTACTTTTTTCAAGTAACTTGACCAACACTGGTTACAACTGCTGTCGTAATGTCGGCTGATATGCAAATTTGAGTGTGCAGGTGCCTCTCCGTGATTGGTGCATACAGGGGGCAGACAAGAAAACATGTACGGATTGGCTAACTACCTGGAGACAACGTATATGATGACACCGCCATGGAGTGCCAGTCATTCATCCTCAGCTCACCTTAACCGACTGCTGTTTCTTTATACATGAGCATGTAGGGGTGGACTGCCTTTTTATTTGATGACCTTTTTCTCATGTTTTTGTTAGTTCGGGAGATAAGTCATTGTCATTTGGTTTGATTCTTTTCATAGATAAGTTTGGTACATCCTTTAGATAGGCTCCCTTTTGTTTGTTGTTTTGGCGTTAGGTCCACCCCAAAGCTATAGTCCGTCCCTTTTGCTTTGTTAAAATTCACTCACTCTAAATAAATCACCATCAAAATTGTACTCGTTGTGTGATGTGCTGCTTGGGGTCATACAGGGATGGATCACCCTTGTGTTATGGTATGGCCACCCCTAGACGGGCCATAACATTATGCAATGTTTTGGTTTTTTCATTCAGTGTATAAGAGTTATCACAGATGATGGTGATGAGTACCTAACTCTTATGCTTTTGTGTTGTTTGGCTTTTGAAAATTGTTCTCCCTTAGAAACTGTTAGGTGTGGCTGTGTGCAGGCAGGAATAGGACCCAAGTTGCAGACTCCGGAGACAGAACTTAAACCAAAACAGCTTTAATGCTGAACTCAAACATAACATAACTGGGGAAAAAGGTCAAAAATAAACTAACACCAGCGGATTGACAAAACACACAGCAAAATAAACGGTAGATCGCGACACAGACACTAAGAAACACAGGGCTTAAATACACAGAGGGAGCAATCAGGGAATGGGTAACAGGAGGGAAACACAGCTGGGGCAAATCAGGCCTAACGAGACAAGAGGAAGCAAAACCAGACACATTAACATCAGACATGGACTTTCAAAGTAAAACAGGAAACGCATAACACAGACTGAACAAAGACACAGGCTCATAAGCAGGCACTACAAAGGGAACAGAGACGTGGGAACAGGGCAGACACAAAACACTGACTGAACACGGGGATATAGGAACTTAGG